AAAAAAAAAAAAAAAAAAAAAAAAAAAAGAGAGAGAGAGAGAGAGAATTTTGAAGTCCCAAAGAGAAGTGTCTGTGGAGTTGCCTGTGGTGACTGATGGTGACTGCAAAGTACAATACTTATCTGGCGCTTCCTGCTGATCGCTCACTGTTCTAAGCCCTTTATTTGTTCGACCCTCACGGTAGCCCTTTGATGTAGAAACTGTTATTATCCCCATTTTGCGATGGGCAGACTGAAGTTCGATGTGGTTTGCCGGGTTGCATCGTCAGTAAGACAGCTGGAACTGGAGAGCAGGCAGTGGTTCTAGGGGCCCATTCAGGAACGGAAGGGGAATGTGGACCGGGATGGCCAAGGTGTGCTGCGGCAAGTCCAGGGCCCAGTGCCCGGGCTGGGATTTGACGGCACAGCTGGGCCACAGCAGACAGGCACTTCGGGACCTGGACTCGAAGCCCACAGCATGAGCCGGGTGTGGTGCACACCTGTGGTCCCGGGGCCTCCTGCGGGCTGGGGTCGCACACCTGGCAGAGGTTGTAGTCTTCGTAAAAGTCTAATTTTTAAATTATGATTTTTCCTTGTCTTCTACCTTCGGACTCTACAAAGAACTCAAAAGTGATAGAATTAGAGTCAGTAGATTCATAGACGGTGCGGGGTGTGTCTCAAAGGCTAGTTTTTAGTTTAATTACATGCTGCTCATTATTTGGTGGTGTAGGTTGGGTTCCTCGGGAGCTGCCTCTGAGATATCAATTATCATGCAAGACATTTATTAGTGAGAACTCTTAGGACCCACAGCTGCGTAAAGGAGGGGAGGGAAGCAAGATTGGGCAAGGGAGAGGTGCGGTTACACTGTAGTCGCCCTGTGGCGTGGAGCTCTGGGGCGGGAACGCCGGGCTTTAGAGCTGGGACAGGCACTCCTGCCTCCTGTCATTGGTCAGGCACTAGGGTCCAGAGTCCTTGCAGAGAGCTGCTGGCTGGAGCCCACAGTGGGGCTTTATTCCCAAGCGAGATAAATAGTTAAATGTGAAAAACAAGGTTCTCATCAGCAAAACAGGGGAAACAGACGTGCAAGTCCAGGCATTTCATTATTAGCATTTTCGGTAAAAGCTGAGTAAGAGCTCTGCACACCCTTAGGAGTTTCCAAAGGACTAAGGGCCCTTTGATTGAATTTCTGCACCTGTTTGAATTTGAGTGTAGATATGGCATTAAAAATGGTGGCGACAAATACGCAGATACAGAGTGCTACGAGAAACCAATCCATAGATTAAGATTAAAATTGACCTGGTTTTTAAAAGATTAGCATTTTTTCAGCTAGTCATGGTGGCACATACCTGTAACCCCTGAACTTGGAAGGTCCAGGCGGGAGAATTGCTGAGTTCAAGGCCAGCCTGGGCTACATAGTGAGACATTGTCTCAAAACAAAACAAAAATTACAAGAATAGCATTTTGTTACATAGTTCGCCTTCATTAAACCATGGGCTATTCTCGGAAACAGCTTGGTTTATTTTACCAATAAAAGAAGGTATAAGAAAAAGGGCTGGCAGCTGAGGAAAGAAGATGGCAGATTTGAATCTGGCGTGGGGTACTTTGTAAAACCACCAAATAAAAAAGGGCTGGGGATAGAGTTTATTGTGAAAGGCCTGTAACTTCAGCGCTTGGCTGATGCAGGAGGATTGAGTTCAAAGCCAACCCTGCACTATACAGTGACATTGAGGCCCATCTGGATTACACAGCATGGCCCTGCCTTAAAAAATAATGAAAAAAAGGATATAGGAGGAACTTGTACACTGTTTTAGCTCTGCCATTTTGTACTGTGAAGCCCTGGGCCAGCCACTTTGCTTTTGAGACACTTAATTTTCTCATCTATGAAATAGAGACAGTACTTCTCTGTACTAATACACAGTGTTGTTATATCAGGTTGAAATAAATGTATATAGATAATGTCTCTACCAGCGCTGTGGCACATACTTCTAGTCCCAGGACTTGGGAGGCTGAGGCAGGAGGACTGCCATGAGTTTGAGGCTAGCCTGAACTACTCGGTAAAACTGTCTCAGAAAACATCGCTAAAAACAAAACAAAACGAAACAAAAGTCAACCAAACCAAATACCCTCTGAACATTAATGCCAAAGCAAGAGGTTGAGTGGGAGCAATGATCTAAAAGACTTTGGAGACATCTAGTTCAGACCCCTCATATTTTTCAAATAAGGAAGGGGAGCCTTGATTGTCAGGAGACCATGTTAAGTCATGTGGATACTTGAATACATCTTGAATTGTGCATTTATCTAAGACTATGGTGGGAATTAAAGCTATAAATGAAAGCTTCATACATCTAAGCTTTGAAACAAGAATGAGGCTGATTGTGTAAGTGCAGCGTGTATCCCTGTCTGAGATCCCAGAATCCTGTCCCTAGTTTAATTTGCCAGGTTTGGGCCCCACCTGGGAACCCTGATTTCTCCTCTCCCCTCATTAATTAGACCCCTCAATCCTCACTTCCTTTACCACCATCCATGGCACTTTTCCTTATATTTTTAAATTTTGAAATAGGATCTTGCTCAATTGTCCAGGTGGGGCTCAAACGTTTGAGCCTCCCGGATGTGGGCCACCATGCCCAGCTGAGGAGGAGATTTAATGAGGCAGTCTGAGCCCCATCCTAGGCCTCGCCTCATCTCAGATTCAGCAGCTGTGGGATCTGAGGCACCTTTCTTCACTTGGTGTAGTCCCTGTTCCTCATGTAAAATCAGGATAATAATACTTGTCCTACTGACTTGTCATGCTTCTCTCAAGGATCAAAAGATGTAACGTATCTGAAAACACCGTGAACAGCAATAAATGCTCTACTGATGTCAAGTGTTATTATTATCCTCCTTATTGCACCCCTCTCCCTCCCTCTCAGACCTCCAGGGTGATGGCTTCCTTCCAAGATTGTCTTGCCAGGTAGTTGCAACTCTTTGCTGAGCAGCTTTGGCTGAACCATGAAATGTCGTTCTAGAATAAGCTGCCCTTGGACTAGCAGGAATTTAATTAGATTATTGGGAGTCACAGAGGGAACCATTAAAAAGGAAGAGCGTTGCATTTGGAAGAAGTGTTTTATTTCCACTGCTGGAAGACACACTGGCCTGCAGTTGCAGCAAAACACATTGATCGATCAATAGATCTATTGTTTTGTTGGAGACAAGATCTGTAGCTAGTATTGAAGTCACACTGTAGCCCAGGCTTGACTTGAATCCATTGCCTCAGACTCCCAAATTCAGAGATTAAAGGCATGTGCCACCATGCCAGGCTCTGTCACCTTCTGATGGGGCCCATCTCTGTCCTCTTCAGTCTCCCTGGTGCTGGGCAAGGGTTCCGTGTACACCTCTAGTCCTGAAGTCCAAGTGCCGGAGAATAACCGTGAGTGCGGCGGGGCAGGGAGGGTGGGCCGGAAGGGGTGAGGGTGCTTTGGGGCCGTTCCCACCTTCTCCCTTGCTCCTCCTCTTCCTCCCTCTCATTTTGATCCTATCTGCAGCCGTCAAGTTGTACTGCACCTACTCTGGCTTCAGCTCCCCGCGTGTGGAGTGGAAGTTTGGCCACGGTGATACCACCAGCCTTGTTTGCTATAATAACCAGATCACCGGTGAGTGGTCTCGCCTCCCCCTGGGAGGCAGAGTCTGTGGAGGGGTTGACCCTGGATGTCAGGGGTGGGTACACCCTGGGGTTCGAGTCTCTGTGGCTTTCCCATTTCCTCCCCTCCTCCCCTCCCCTTCTTTCCCCTCCCCTCTGTTTTTGGGACCTTGTGCTTGTGAGGCAGGCGATGGCACCCCTGAGTTAAATTCCCAGCCCTTTTCCCTTTCTGAGGAAGTAGAGGGCGCCCAGGTACCTCGGATGCCGCCTTCGCCAGCTTCTCTCAGCCCTCCAGTTCACGCTGTCTCTGCCTCCTTCTCCGAGGGTAGCTTCCTACGCGGATCGTGTTACCTTTTCAACCAGCGGCATCACCTTCAGTTCCGTGACCCGGGAGGACACGGGGACGTATACATGTATGGTCACTGAGGACAATGGCAACAACTATGGGGAGGTCCACATCCAGCTCACCGTGCTTGGTACGCGTCACCTGGCGTGTCTTCGTGTGGGCCTGGGACCGGCTATTTCCCTAAACTCTGAGGAGACTGCTAAGCTTTGGAACTCATGGATGGTGACAGCATCTATTGATGGGGGTATCCACAGTCATGGTGCTCCTAGATGGAAGTTAAAGGGCGTAAGAGAGGGTGGCTGGAGCCGAGTGGATGGGGTCCCCACCCTTGGTTCAGCAGCTTGCTTCCTTCTGTCTTTCCCCAGTGCCGCCATCCAAGCCCACAGTCAACATCCCCTCCTCTGCCACCATTGGCACCCGGGTGGTGCTGACCTGCTCTGAACAGGATGGCTCTCCACCCTCTGAGTACTCCTGGTTCAGGGATGGGGTCCCGATGCCCGAGGATCCCAAGAACACGCGTGCCTTCATCAATTCTTCCTATACCCTGAATCACAAGACAGGAGAGCTGGTATGCACGGGGTGGGGCTAAGGACCTGGGAGGTGTGGGCGGGAAGGATGAACTGCAATAGGGTGAACTTGGAGCGAGTGTCGTAAGAAGTAGTTTCCTCTCGAAGCCGACTGTCTCTTCTTCCCTGCAGATCTTCAGTCCTCTGACAACTGCTGATACCGGAGAGTACCTTTGTCAGGCACAGAATGGGTTTGGGAAATCCATGAGTTCAGACAGCATCCACATGGAAGCTGGTGCGTGGGCCTGGGCTGGGGGATTGGACTCAGAGCTGGGTGGGAGCCAGGGTCTGCCCCTCACTCTTCCACTGGTGGCAGTGTCAGCGCTGTGACTGAGAATTCAGGTGCCCGAACTCGGGACCTTGTGCCTTGGAAGCAGGTGGCAGAACCGCTGAGCTGAATCTCTGGCCCCTGACCTCTGCTTTGTGTCTCCCAGTGGAGCTGAATGTCGGGGGCATCGTGGCAGCTGTCTTCGTAACACTGATTCTTCTTGGAGTCTTGATTTTCGGCATCTGGTTTGCCTACAGCCGAGGCTACTTTGAGCGTAAGTATCGCCCTCTTTTGTGTCTTCCCCAGTCCAGGCATGGTTCGTGGGTGTCACCTGAGTGGAGACCCCGACACGGTGCTCCCCCGAGGAGGACAGGTGGCTGGGTCCGAGCCCCTCTCCAGTGCCCCGGCTGCTTCCCCCCGGACTTCCACACCAGCCTGTGCTCTTCTGCCGGTGCTCACCGTCTCCCTTTTTTTTCTCTTTCAGGCGCAAAGAAAAAGTGAGTGAAATGTTACCCCAGGGTTCTCTGAGGCTAAGAACGCAGATGCGGATGCGAGCGGTTTGAAGCCGAGATGGGCCCTGGGGTTGGGAATGGGAGTGAAGTTCGGAGGTGGAGGCCACCAGCCTGGAGGGAGAACACCTGCTGCCCCCCTGTCCCCTGGACTTGGCCTCTTTCCCTTTGCCCACACTTCCCTACTGAGCCTTCCGCTTCTGCAGAGTTCTTAGCTGTGGCCTCTAAGGTTAGCGTGGAGAGCGGAGGAGCCTGAGCTCCTCTGTGTTCTGTCTCACGCACAGGACCTCGTCGGGTAAGAAGGTGATCTACAGCCAGCCCGCTGCCCGGAGTGAAGTGAGTGCACCTGCCGGGGAGGGGCCCCCTTGGCCGCTGTTGCGGGGTTTTCTAGCCCGAGTTTCTGTGTCTCCAAGTTTTTTAACCAAAGAAAACCTAGAGCTGACTGGAGGCTATCTTTCCGTAGGGGGAATTCAAACAGACCTCGTCGTTCCTGGTGTGACCGGGGCCGCTCGCTCCTGTTTCTGATGCCCGCGTTAGGAGCTCCCGGACTCTGGCCCTGACGTCTGTAGATTCGCAGGATGCCTTGACCCGCAGGATCCCCCACTTAGTTAGGCTGTGATTTTAACAGCGTCGGCTTTGTGCGCCTTCCTCTTCACCACATTCCTTCCTTTGCGTGCCACTGCCGAGTGGTTCTCCCTCCCCTGCCCTCCGGGAGAGCGGGCGGGACCCTGCCTACCTGCTGACTTCCCCACTAAGTAGGCAGCACTCACAAATGGTGGGCCTCCCGGGACCTTGAAACCACTGCCTGACCTGCTGTGGCCTTTGGATAACG